ATGATTTTTGTATATGGTGTGAGGTAGGTATCTAAGTGTATTTTTTAATGAATAGTTCATTGTCCCAACACTTTAATTACTAACCCATCATTTCATATTATTAAACTTCAATAATTATACCTGGGTCAACCTTTAGACTCTCCAGTTTGTTTCATTAATAAATTTGTCTATCCCTATACCAAAACACAGTGTGTTCATTATGTAGTTTGATAAAATGTTTGGCTGATAGAGTAAATCTCCATCATTGTTCTATTTCAACAAGATTTTTTATTGAATATTTACTACCTTAGATGAATTTTGGATTCATCTTGTCAATTTTCATATACCATTCCATTGGGGGTTGCATTTACTGAACTTTTAGATTAATTTGAGGGAGGAGTGAGAGGTTTATGATATTTTTCTTATTCACAGAAATAATAAAACTTTCCATTTATTTTGATTTTATGTTTTTCAGCACTTTTATTTAGACAGTTTTCTGTTAAGGTTTATATCTAGGTATTTTAAATGTTTTTATTACTATTGTACAAACAATGTTATTTCTCATTGTATTCTGAAGTCATTGCCACTGGTATGAGAATATTTTGGCTATTATGTGTCCCTCTTACAGCTGGGTAACTTCCTAAGATAACAAATTTACTTGCTTTTTAGTTAATTGTTTCCTTTTCAATATTTTCTATCTCATTTTTAAGTTCTTATTTTATTGCACTGTCTAGGATCTTTTTTTTTTTTTTTTTTTTGTACAGGGGATCGAACTCGGGACCTTGCCCTTGTGAGGCATGTGGTGGAACCACTGAGGCTAGGATCTTTTAGATAGTGTTTCATAAAATCAGTGGCAGAAGAAGCCCTCTATATTTCTAATGTTTTACCAGTTATTATGATATGTAGCATATCGAGTGAAAAATGTTACCTTCTATTACTAATGGATTAGGGCTTTTAATCAGAAAAGAGTATTGGAAAGTTTAGGCATTTTTGAAAGGATTTTTTTCTTCTTTCATCTTAATTTAGTAAATGTAAACACAGATTTCCTAAGGGTGAGGCCTTCTTGAATTTATATTATAAATCTTATTGAATTATAACATGGGATTCTTGCGATACATTGTTGACTTGTTCTTACTCTCTGTATTTATATATTAAGGCTATATGTTAAAGTGACTGATTTGTTGTCAGAGATACTCAAGCCAAAGAGAGTGGTTTGAGAAAGTTTCCATATTGTTTTTGTTTTGCAAAAATATAAAAAGGATAGGAAATTTTGGTAGAACTCATCCTTAAAACCATCTGGACCTTGTATTTCTAATGTATGGATTATTTGTGCTGGAATTTTAATTGTTTTTATATTGTTTTTCTACTTTTCATTACTATTTTCTAGTAAATCAATCATTGCCTCTAAATTTTCAAACTATTGTTTAATTATTCTTAGCATTTTATATTTCTCTCCTCTACATCCCTCATTAACCTTGTCATGGGTACTTGTCATAAAACTTTTGAAAGAACTAGCAATTGATTGTACAGATTATGTTTGCTTTTTGTCTCTTTTGGTTGTTTGTTTTGCTTTATTTTGTTCCATTCCAAACTATCTATTTATTTTATTTTGTTTTTCTTCTTCCTTTCTTTGAATTTATTTTTAGGTCTCTACTAACTTATTTTTGAAACTTTATTGAGCTTAGTTATATTTTAACTATTTTGAATATAATTACTTAAGTGCTCATATAGTTTTTCCAAGAATTATTTTAGCTAAATTCCTATTATACAATGAATAGGATTTTGATTAGCATTATAATAAATAATTTAAAATTTATTTTTGTTTTCTTTACTAAATAGTTTTTCAATTGCCAAAAGTGAACTTATTAAAATGTTATCCTGGGCCAGGGATTTAGCTCAGTGATTTCACCACCTGCTGCTCAAGCGTGAGGACCCGAGTTTGATCCCCGGTACCAAAAAAAAAAAA